TTCGATACCGTTGATATAAACGTTTTGCGAGAATCGGTATATGTATTTTTTTTTTTCAAGTTCACTTTTATTGGAATTATAAAATAATTGATCAGGAATATTACGTTCTCTTAGGCAAAGTATTTGTTACCGCAGCATTATTTTGAGATTGTTGAAGAAAGGAATGCAGATAACTTGTGTGGGTACCCGATTTGTAACAAAGATCGTCAAGTACATAATATTTATTTGCTTTCTTTCTAATTAAAATTTATGATCACATTTTTATTTGATTGCTCATGTTGCTATTTGATTACAGGAAATTCAAGGACAATTTAGAATTTCTAACCAAGCAAGGAAAATTTATGACATTTCCGAGTTAAAATGTTATTGTTCAACTGTGTGTTTTACGTCTTCCAAATTTTTTGTAACACAATTATCCGATGAACCTGTATATATGAGAAATTTGGAAAATTGGAAATCAGTCAATGTTATACCATTGGGCGTAGATTTAAGGTATTTGATAGATAGATAATATTACAACCAATATTTCTTGTCTTTATAGGTTACTGATGTACGACCCTTTCATGTAGAGAAATCATTAAGAAAGAAAAATCCCCAACTAACCTACTCATTAAAGAAGATATCAAATCAACTTATGTTAAAGATATGTTTGCTACCCTTCCACCTGCTCCTCCTGGACTGATCATAAAGGAAAAAAATGATAAAGAAATCGAAGCTCCATCCGTGCCAACTTCCACTAATGATGCTAACGCGCATGATGCTATTGAGGGATTTCGTATAGGCTTTCAAGGATTATCGATTTCAGATAGTGATAGTAAGCCAACTACGTTAATATTGTCAAAGGATGAACAAGTCGCTAAGAACAACGCGTCAAAAACTGACGAAGAAGATTATGAAATGGCAATGTCGCTAGCCAATTCTATGTTTCGTAATGGAAAATTTCATTATCAAGATGATGAAGAGCATCAAATTGTTTCTGATAATATGATATCTAATTCAAATTCAATAAAGACAATTGATTCCATAAAAAATTATAATGAATTAGTTGATCAACCAACATCTATTGAATATAAAGGTTCTCGGGATTATTTGGATGAATATTCATCTAAAAGTCTACAGAAATCGAATAATTCACAACCACCACTTTCACCTGAAAAGAAAGCTCGCAAAAAGAAGAGAGTCATGTTGCAAATGTCATTATTTGGAAAAATATGGACAGCTTTGGATAGAATGTCCACGCCAAATACAAGACGATATTTTGAGAGCATAAATGGACAATTCGTAGAAGGCAATGGTGCGATTCCTTGGCGTCAACCCATAACGAATGAGAATGCGTTAATGAGAATTCAAATCTTTTCCGAGAAAATTATTGAATGGTTTGTAGTCGTGAATTTTCCAAATTCTAAAAAAATTTATCGAACTTAAAATTATTTTTTTTTTTAAAGTTTTCATCTTCTCAGAAAAAATCTTGCGATTACTACCGGTATAGAACGTGAACTTATCAACCTAATGAGCACCTTTACATTTGACACTACAACAGTTGTGTTTAATGATTTAGAAAATAATGTATTATGTATGGTATTTTTATACGCGTAAGTAAAAACGGAAAAAAAAAAATCTCTATAATTACAAAAGTTTTCAACGTAGATTGATTTAACGTAAATTCTATGAATAAAAATTCCATCTAGGTTGTCAATGGATATAACTGAACTGCGTGAAAATATCTTTCCCGAAAATTCATCATCCAAGAAGGATGAAGAATATCAATTCAAAACCATACTTAAAAAAATGAATCTCACGATTGAAGAATTAGATGCATTTGTAAGAGTGCTTCGTATTGGTCCAGTCTAACAATAATACGGTTATTCTACCAAATCCGTTTTTATAGGTTTTTACTATTTAAATTTAAAATCTTAATATTGTTGAATTTTATTACATTTATCTTTGAATGTAACAATGCATATGTAGAAAAGTTAAAATATTGGAAAATTAATTGCTTTCATCGCACTTTCAACAAATTGACTCCAACCCGCTTCTTTAGATTCTTGAATTACTATAAATTCAACTATTCTTTGGATCAATTCATCGGTTTGTACGATTTCTTCATGTTTTCCTTTTAAAGAAGTTTCAATTTCGACAATTTCGGCACCAGAATCTTTAATATGTTCAAAATAATTATTTGATTGATCAATACCAACAAGTTCATCTTCTAAACTATGAATTATCAGATAGGGAGGAATCTTTGAATTAATGTTAATATATTGTGGTGAAACAGATTTTAAAATAATTTCATCAGCGCCAAAAGCTGGTTTAACAAATTCGATATATTTGGGATAAGATTTTAATAAATTCACGAGATCATAAATTCCTTCAATACCAATGACACCACGAACTTTTGCTAAAAGGTTAGGATCATGAGAGTTAAGATATTCAGGATCTAATATAAGTTGGCCAGAAATGAAAGCTCCTACGCTATTACCAACGAGGTATATTCTATCATCACGATATCCATATTTTTTTGCATTTAAAGATATCCAAGAGATTGCCGATGCTACATCTTGTACATGTAAAGGATTTTTTATTTCGGGTGTATCTTTTGTTGTAAGACGATAATTTACGATTGCAACAGCGCAATTCCCTAAATGTGATAATCCTTGACCTAATTTTATGAATTGATTCTTATCACCAGTACGCCAAGCACCTCCATGAATGAAAACTACTACAGGAGGATAATACACTGTTTCAGTTGTTGCTGGTATTGAATGTGGAGGAAGATATATATCAAGTTTTTGTAGTAAATTTGGTGACGAAACATAAGAAAGGTCTTTATGTACGTTTGAAGTTGTATCAGACGACATTTGTTAAAGGAGAGTTTTTGTTAATGAGTTTTATAGAAAAGAATGGCCGAGAAGCTTAACGTTAAGTCAAATTCTGTCGATCAATTGCGTGATCAAACAGGTTTTCGTGAGCCAATAGTCCGTTTGTTTATCTTCAACACCCTTCTAAAATATCATTTTACTCCAAAAAATTTTGAACTTTTTAACATTTTAATATGACTCGCAAAAAATAAAAAGAAGTCTCCCTCTAGTCGACGTTGGTCATTACTTCGTCTAAGGGAACGCAGAAGTGAAATGATTTTTCAAGGTGAGACGTGTAGACCTAAGAATAGTCCTAAACTGGAAGGCTGATAAAAATGGCAACCCATGCCGTCAGCTGAAGTGGACTGACAGTGAATTTAATTTGATTGCAGCTTTTTCTTATGTCTTACATCAAACTGTAGGTTCATGTCAAAAAGTTCAAGAAAATCGTCAAGAAATGACTTGCAAGGAAGAGATTCACCAAGAAGTTTTGGATTTGCGTCAGGAGAATTTATCATTAAGAGAACAATTATCTACTTCTTCGAATCAGACTGCTAAATTAACTGAGCTTTCTAATCTTTTATCCCAAGAACGTAATAAGTATCAAAAACTTCAAGAGAAGTATAGTCGACTTTATGAAGATTTTCAATTTGTTTGTCAAGAGGCGAACAGTAATATGGAGGTCTTGGAGCAATTACTCTAGATCAGCTGGTTCGAAATGACAATTTTGAGTAAACCTGAAGTATACTTTTCCTTTTTTTTCTCAATAAAATTCTATATTTACTGTGGTTTTTGTCCTTTAATAATATAAAATTGTTTAATAATAAATAATGATAAAATAATAAAACTAAATAATAATAATAATAAAATAATAAATTAATAATATAATAACAATAAATTTTCTATATTATGTCTTAAAAAAAAATTAAACTATAGCAGAATTAAAATGGTTAATATAATGATATTCAACAGTTTTCTAATAAATTTGTTTAGTAGCTCTTAATCTAATAAAATTATTATTATTTCTTGATATATAGGGTTTAAGTGAAAGTATGAATATTTAAGTCAATAGACATTTTTTAAATGCATAAGAAAAAAGAAATCTCGATCATACATGTCTATCCGCACAAATAGTAAATCACATCATTTTATTATATACATTTTTTTTGGCCCAATGTGCACATAAAAAAATTTAAACTGTTTACTATCTTGAACATATTAAAATAATATCTTAAAATTAATGTATACATGCATTAAGTAAAAAATAAAAAGAAATTCCATATAAAACAAGCATAGATTTTGAAATTATATAGAAATCTTTTTTGGTGAAAAAAAGCATCTTTTATTAAGCGTCTATGACCCTTATATAAAGTCTGATAAAACACGTTTGTGTTTTTCTTAGTCCTATCTTTTCAAGATAAGATGTTTTTCACAGCCAATATTAATTTCAAAAAGTCTTTCATAGTCTTTGGGACCTCAATATCTTGTAGATCCATGGTAAAGATGATATTATCAAAAAGATACTTAGTGGCAGATATTGTCAGATGAAATCCATTTGATTAAATGTTATAGACTTCAATGTCTTTAATGTTATCTTTAGATGTGAAAGGAAATATGAAAAACAGAACTGTTAATATGAACTTTAAATAATACTTTAACTTTTGAACTGGTTTTCTTTCATAAGTGTTTAGAACTCCATCTTCTTGAGCTAGTAATTTAGTATTTAGAAACTACAGGAAACCTATACCATCAAGTTTAGGAGTATTATGTCCAGCAATGTTTAATATTTCTTTAAGCTTGTCATAAGACTTCAATGCCAATTTACTATAACTTAATTTGAGATCTGTTTTCCCTAAGAATGCATTTCTTAGTAATAAAATCTATAAATATGCATTAAATTTATGTTTAGACATAGATTAGAGGAGAACATCATTTTTATACAAGTGAAAGAAATGAGTGAAAAGGTTTTGTACATAAACGAGATCATTTAATGATATGAAGCAACCAATTAAATTTTCATTCAGACATCTTTCTAAAGAGTCCAAATCTAATACATGATCAAACTTATTTAAGAACTGCAAAACGTTATCATTACAGTTGACTAAAAATTTATTAATTCCTTATCCTTCACTAAAATTTACAGTCTTAAAACTAGTTAATAATGAATTGTTTAAAATCATATAGTAATACTTTATACATTCAGTATTGTAAAAGTTGATAATACCAATAGATAAAGAACTTTTTTAATCCCTTTTATTAAGTAAATAAAGTTTAAAATATTTATATCATTATATATTAACTTCTTGTTTACTAAAACACACACTTGATATATTTTGAAGGCTTCTTTCATTATATTAAAAATAATATATTTACTTTTTAGCTTTTTATCCTTCATTTCTTCTAAAGATGTATTTGATTTGACATTCTTATTCATATTATTTTCAAGCTCAATGAAAGTTATAAGAAAGAAATTCATAAGATTAACAGGTGTAATTTCAGATTTATATGACAACGAAAACTCTTCATTTTTAATTACTAGAATGGCAGATTCTTCATCACTGAATATTTCTATCTGTATACCTGAAATGAGAGAAGGTATTTTGTTGTAGATTATTATTTAAACAATAAAAAATACCTTATTGTTTAGGATTTGTTGTTTAGATTTATCATCCTTAACCTTTTTTATTAACGATTGAAATTTATTTAACAATACTTCTTCGTTTATTTTTCAAGAGAACTTTTTAATTATTTTAATTATTTTGTATATCAAACTATATCCTACAACTTCATGTGTTACTTGTAAAGATTAAATCATTAAGTAATTAATCAGCAATCTATTTAGCTTCAACTAAAAAAAATATAAATACACTTTATCAAGTGACGCTTCTATGCTTAGCCAATATAACTTGTAACTAATTGATTATGTCTACGTCTATTAAAAAGAAGTAATATAATATACTAATTTATTCATTTAACAGTTAGTGATAAAAGTTTCATTTACCTCGAAAGAAATTAATAGACAAATCACTCTATTACAATTAGAACTATTTCTCTCATCCTTGATTATTATGAGAAGCTCTTACAATTTTTCTTTGATAAATCTTTATGAAGTATGTGAGAAGTTGAACACTTTATAGAAGTCTTCTGGCTTTAGGTCTTTAAGATTATTGTGTATCCAATCTAGCATCATAGTATTATACACTAAGAAAACAGAAACTGTTTTTAAGTCCAAAATAATTTTTATGCTAGTATAGGAAAGATTAATAAATGTGTAAGTACATAATAAATGATTTTTACAAAATAATAAAACTGCAGTCAATAAAGAAAAGACTGCAGCTAACAAAGAAAAGACTGCAACTAATAAAGAAAAAATTACGACTGGTAACAAAGATCAACATTATTTAGATAATATTAAATTTATTGTATAATTATTTAATATGTAATTATCTAAAACAATAAAAAATAATAAAATACATGATATTTGCAATTCCTTATTCTGTTAATCTAACATATTTTATTTCTTTGAAAAATTGTATAAGCGATGTCTCATTCTGAAACGGTAATAAAGAAAATATTAATAAATAAAAGATATTAGATTAGATTTATAAGATCAGATAAAATAACGAATAAATACTTTAAGAATCTATAAATTTTTCATTCAAAATCAAACCAAATTATACTAAAACTAAATGAATAACCAAACTATTAACCCTGAGATGCTTTGAAAGTGTAACAGTAAAATAGAGAGACCTGTGAAAAAACTGAAGCACGTCTTACATGAGATGTTTTAATAAAATGCAAAAAAAGAAAAATAAAATAGACGAAACTCACAAGACATGTCTTGAAAGCATTTGAAAAAGAAGAAACCAAAGAATATCAATAGAAATAGCCAAAAACTGTATGCGTTATCTAAATGATAAAAGTGATTGTAAGTAAGCTACACATGAAAGAGCCAGTAAAGCACGTCAAGTAGATACTGAGTAGAATCAAAACTCAACTATAATTATCAGTAGAGAAGAATACTATCTACTGCAAAATTTTTGTAAAAAATGAATAATATATGTTATAAACTTTGTGAAATATATAACGAAAAAATACCATCTATAATGCTTATCATAGAAATATACTGACGCTGTTATGCAGAAAAAGGTATTTCAGACTTATCAAAGGAATCTTCAGCAGAAAACCCAGATGACCAAATGAAGTATAAAACTTACCAAAGAGATTTTTAGCAGGAAATAACATGAATCCAAATGAAGTATTAGATGAATTTAAAAGACTTACCGAAATTGAAGAAATGCTTATAATACAAGTCTTTATAGTAATCTCAGTATATCGACTTTGAGAAAGACAAAATAGATACAGAGGTGATGTTGTAAATTTTCCTCAGGATACAGTCACACCTCGATATAACGAAGTTGCTGATCCAGCCGATCAGGACTTCGTTATAAGAATCTTCGTTAACGC